AATATGAAATCTTGTCTTTGACTATGTGGATGGAGCTAGAGGGGGTTGCGTTAACCCAAAGTCATCAGGGAAAGAAGAACAAATGTGATTGATCTCACTTACATTATTAAGAAACACAGCATCTAAATGACAATAATCCTTTGACTTTGACTACAAAACTGAAGTTACCAAGGGTTTGGGGTATAAGGAGAAGAAAAGAGGAGCACTAGAAGTGATCCAAGGACAATAGTGAAGGGTCTTGAACAGTCAGATAACAACAGAGGGGCTGTAATATTGTACCCCACAAGATTGTAACATATTACTTCTATAATATTTTTTTAAAGTACAGATCTGTTATGTATTATTCAGCTCTTAAGATATTTGTTTCTGGTTAGAATATCAAGAATATTTTTATCTGTATTGTCTGGAGCAATAGCACAGCGGTAGGGCGTTCGCCTTACAAGCGGCCAACATGGCCGACCCGAGTTCGATTCCTCCGCCCCTCTCGGAGAGCCCGGCAAGCTACCGAGAGTATTTGATATGCCAGACACAGTAACAACAAAGTCTCCAAGCCCGCTCGAGCAAATCGACGATCAACGGGAGGGCCTTTACCTTTGATGCATATATCTATTAAATATTCTTTAAATATGCTTCACAATAATGAGGGTTTTTTTTACATTTACATTTATGAACAAAGAAGGGAATCATCTGGAATCAGTTTTTCTCACCTAATTCATATAGGTAATTTAGGAATAATTAAATTTATAAATAATACAAACTAAAATATATGCTTACATGATAATACTTAGATGACTATGAAAGCAGAAATGACCTCTTAAATAATTTTATACTGTATATCATTGTTTTCCTGTTCACTCATCAAGATTTGAGAATAGAGAAATACAAGACATTGTTTAAGTTAACTCTTTCACCATTTTCATAGGGCCGCCTATATATAAAATGCCAGTTATTCGTGACTGAATTGTTGAAACTGATTTAGAATAACCAACTCTGTTTGGGGTAATTGGTAAGATTTAGACCAGGGACATTATACAGTCATACAAGTTGACCTGTTATAGTAGAAGAGAAGAACAGACTAAAATGTCTTTAGATACATTTACACAATGGAGTACTATGTAGCTGTTAGAAAAGATGAAGTTATGAAATTTACATACAAGTGGTACTACATGGAAAGTATCATGTTAAGCGAAATGAGTCAGAAAGAGCGGGATAGACACAGAAAGATTGCATTCATCTGGGGAACATAAAGCAACAAAAAGGGAGAGTAACACCCAGGAATGGCTGAGATTAGTACCAGGAATTTTGTTCCATGAATGGAAGGCCAGCCACAGGCTCTAGGTGAAAAGGAAGCTCAGATAGAGAAGAGAGTACCAAATGAAGGGTGTTGTGAGGGTCCTCCCAGGGTGGGAGAAGCATGCTAAAAGTAGTCAATGGACCAAACATGATTGCCACTCAAAGCCTCTCTTGCAAAACACAGTACCCAAAAGAAGAGAGAGAGAACAAGGGGGAATACCCTGCCACAGAGACAGGATGGGACGGGGGGGGGGGGGGATGAGGGGGGGGGGGGATGCTGGGACCCATGGGGATGGATGACAGGCACTGGTGGAGGGATGGGCACTTGATCATTGTATAACTGAAACCCAAGCACAAAATTTGTAAGCCTATAACTGTACCTCATGGTTTTTCACTAATAAAAAAAGAAAAAAATATATAAAAAAATAAAAAATAAAAAAAAAATAAAATGTCTTTAGAGGTAGGTTCCTTTGCATATATTATTGCAGCAATCTTCCAAAGTCCAGGGCATTGACTTTTGATTAAAATGCAGGATTATGAGCAACTAAGTATGCTTTTATTATGAAGTATGTCTTGCCCTTATATTCCATATGCACATGCACAATTTAAATACTGTCTTTACTCCATGATGAGCTATTTTATGCTTTTCTTTCTTCAGCTGCTAAAAAAATCTAGTTGTCATCCATAAAATCGGTTACAAGATCCACTAGTGGGCCCCAGTTGCATTTTGATAAGCTCTTTAAGATACCATTACTTTTGCTTTCAAAATTTGATTTACCCTGTACACCTGTGCATATGTTCTCTATTTTATACTTTCCAGTGGTAATAAAAAATGCATATAAATTTCATGCAGTTGTGTTCTATGGAAGAAGAGATACAACTTGATGCACAGATTTTTTCCAAATTGTTTGTAGTAATTCTCTAGGTTGCTGGAGGAGCTCTGCTTACTTATTTTCTCTGTTTCTCTTTTTATAAGCAACGGATAGTTTGATATTAGTGTATTTAATCTATTTTTATTGGGAAGGGGGTGCACCATACCTATTAGTGCTCAGGGCTTTTTCCTGGTTCTGTCTTCAGGGGCCAGAAATTGAACCTGGGTCAGCTGTGTGCAAATCAAGCACTTTACCCAGAGTACTATTTTTCTGGCTCTGTATTGTTTTAAAGGTAGTTATAATTTGTTGGGGGAAAGCTCAGAAACTTGAATTGGACTTCTTTAAAAACTCATTTCAAAGAGGCTCCGTATTTCTTTGATTTTTAGCAGATAGGAAGGTATTCTTCAGGAGATTGATTTCTAGTCCATGCTGCTTCCCATAGAAGAGGATTTAGTAAAAAGTCGTACCAAAGAAGTGATTGTGGGGCCGGCGCAATAGTACAGTGGGTAGGGCATCTGCCATGCCCTCAGCCAACCTGTGTTCAATCCCTGGTGCCCCATATTTTCCCCCAAGCACTGCCAGGAGTAATTCCTGAGTGCATAGCCAGGAGTAACCCCTGAGCATCGCTAGGTATGACCCAAAAAGCAAAAAAAAAGAAAGAAGAAGAAGTAGTGATTATATATTAAGAGCCAGGGATGTGCCTTTGGAGTAGAGTGTTCGCCTGCGTGTGAGGACGGAGAGGTGGGGGTGAGGTGGGAAGCTAAAACAGGGACAGAAAGTATTAGTTGTTCTGTGTTATTTGGTATATAGTATCTGAGCCTTGGTTTGTAAAATGAATGTATTTGACTAGATTTTATAGATTATTTTTAATTTCAGGTTTTCATCCCCTTCCCCCCCCTTTTCAATTGAATCACAAATTGAATGTTTTCTGAATCCCTCTGCCCCCTACCCCTTTGATTGAAGTGATATACACGCTACCCGTTCAGTAATAGTATTGCAAACTCTATACCTAAAAGGAAAAATGAGATGAAGGCAGGGAGGGAAATGTGTGCCATGGAGGCAGGGGGCAAGAGGAGGACAGGCAGGCGGGCCGGGAAACTTGGGACATGGGGGTGGGAAATGCACACTGGTGAAGGGATGGTTATTGGTGAACCTTGTATAACCGAAGCTCAATCATGAATGACTTTGTAACTGTGTATTTGATAAAAAATCACAAAATCACAAATCATCCTGTTAATCGTCAATTGCCTCGAGCAGGCCCCAGTAACGTCTCCTTCATCCTAGCCCTGAGATTATATTCAAGGCTCTTTAGGAGAATGAGCCCCATCATTGTTACTGGTATTTGGTATATTGGGTACGCCACGGGGAGTTTGCCAGACTCTGCCCTGTGCGCAGGCTACATTCGGTAGCCTGCCAGTTTGTCCAAAGTAGGAATGAGATAATAAGATGTTATAGTAAAATGTTCTGCGGCTGCATTTGCGGCCGCGCGGTTCCGGGAGCTGGTTTTTATAGTCTCTGAGTCTTGATAAAAAGTAAAATGAAAGAAAAGACTCGCTTTGTTAAAACACACTGCTTTCTTTAAAATTAGTTTACTAATAAGCAAAGCAAGTCTTTGTAAAAGCGTATGAAATGTATTATGTTGATTTATGGAAATTACATATAGATTCACAATTTCACAGTTCTCTATTTGGACAGAAGTGTTAAAAGCTATCACACTGGCTGGAGTAATAGTTCAGGGGATCAGGTGCTTGCCCTGCATGCGACTGACCCACGTTCTATCCCCTGCATCCCAGATAGTTCCCCAAGTGCTTTAAGGATTACCTCCTGGGTGCAGAGCCAGGAGTAATCCCTGAGCATCACCAGAAGTTAAAAATATCCTGAGAGAGACTGAGTCACAGTAGTGAATAATAAGGGTAGATATATATATACATGGATACATATATAAATATTTGGTTTGGAATTATATTTGTCTATGAATAAGAAATCAGTTATAACTAAGTTATGAATTCTTAAGGTTGCTTAGAAAAATCTTCTCAAACTTGCATGATTTGAGAACAGACATGAATACTTTTATTTTCTTGCTATAACGAAAGTTGACTTTTGAGATCAGAATTCAGTAGGTATAGGCCTTTTTTGTTTTTTGTTAGTTTGTGGACCACACTTAAGAGTGCCCAGGGATCACTCCTGGGGACTGTATGGAATGTTGGAGATTGAACCCTGGTTGGCCTGCACTCAAGACAGTTGTCCTACCCCCTGTACTGTCACTCTATCCCCTTTTTTTTTTTTATCATGTTCTATACAACAGTTTTTGTAAATTAGGAAGATTGTATGTAGCAGTGACTTCAGTTCCTGGTAACTCGAAGAATGCTGTGTTTAAAATGTAGCTGGTACATGTAGACTCGAAAGGAAACAAAACAAATCAAATAACATTTCAGTAGGCTTTCTTCTGTGGCGTCTCCAGTCATCATCTGCATGAAGGACATAGCAGTGTTCTCATGAAACTTCAAACCCTGAGTAACTTACAGGGCACGTTATCATATCTAATAAATATTAGGAAATGTACTTCTTTAAAAAGTGTAATTTTATATAGAGAAATACTAGAACATTACATTAAGATTTAATATCTATTTATATTTTGGGTCTTGTACATAAGGTTTGTCATTACAATTCAGTGATTGTTTACTCATTTTATATTTATTAACAAATGCACTAAGCTTTATTACCCTGCTTCATTGTACTATCTTTGTAAAAAAGTTGCACAATTAGGCTTAAAGGATTGTTTTCTTTATTTAAGAAAAAGTAATAAATTTCATTATTTACTTTTCAAATCTGCAGAAGAAAGAAGATCAGCAGTTGGAGCCTAAAAAAAGTACCAGCCCCCAAAAAGCTGCAGAGCCAACTGTTGATCTTTTAGGACTTGGTAAGTAATAAAAGAGGCAAGTTACCAGTAGAGTCAGAAAACAGTTGAAACTTTTCCTTAAATATAATGAATTGTCAATATGCCAAAGGGGATACCTGTTAACTGAATTTGAAAGTAATGTGATTAGTTCGCTGAACTCACACAAAAAAGGAAATCTTTAATAGGGAAGCTCGTATCTGTCAGCACTGTCTTCACTGAAATTCAAGTAATGAGTTCCTTAGGGAAAGAAGAGATATCAAAGTAATCTTTAAAGGCTTGATAGGCGGACATGAAGAGTAGATCCTCTGTCTCTCTGTTCTTCGCTCTGCCCTTTCCCCACTCCTCCCTTCCTCCCTCTCTTTCTGTTCCCTCTCCATCCATCTCCCTCCCCCCCCTTCCTCCCTCCCTCGTGTAGTCTTTTCATCATTCTCCTCTCTCCTGGCCCAGTCTCTATCTTTCTCTTGTTTTGATTATTGGATGCAGCATGCATCAGTAGACTTAGGTCTAGTGATGAGGTTGATTTTTCCCTAATGACAAGAGGCAGTTTATTTTTAATATAATGTCATTTTCATTTAATACAGTACTCATTCTCAAAGCTGACAGGTAGCTGTTCTCTGTTTGCTAAGTAAAGAGGTTCCATTCACGGAGTACGTAGACTGTGCCTATCTACTTCTATTGCCAGCTGCTGCTGCTTTTTTTTTTTTTTTTTAAGTTTTCTTTCTTCTAAAATAGCTTGGTAGTTATTTTTGGTAATGTCTCGGCCCTCAAGCAGAAATTTTTATTATTCAGTGTTTGGGGAAGAAAACCATTATTATAAGGAAAGTATGAAAAATGGTTGAAGAGTAGAGTTAAACTCATTACTTTTCTAAGAGTGATCTTAGCTCTTATCAAGTGAATTGTTTTTTGTTTTAGAATTATAGTTGAATGTTTTATTCATTTCTTAGGAAGCTATTATGTCATGCAGATATACTCCCTAGAGGTAAAATTCTTCTCTGGTAGTGAAAATAAGTAGTATATTAGAAGGAGCCCCCTCAAAATCTCCAGTAATATTGAAAATAGGGCTTTATTTCAGAGTCTGAATACACTTACTCAGTTCTAGTCCTCATAGTATTCTGTTACCTTTGCTGTAAATGAGAGAAAGCACTTATTACCAAAGAAAATATCTCACAAGAAATATATCTTTTGGTCACTGCAGTATTTTATTTCCAGTCTATGTTTTTTAGTACTGACTTAGAAATGGAGGATATACACTAGGCTTCACTTCCATCTTAGAGATTCATTCATTGATTGAGGAAATATTTCTTGTGTACCTGTTGCATGTCTCCTAGGGTGATAGGCAGGAGCGAAACAGATAAAAATCGTGTATCTCCTAGCCAGGTGTGTGTCTCAGTAGTGGAGTACTTTCCCTGCATATGTGAGATTCTGGGTTCAGTCCCAGCACTGCAAAACAAAAATCCAAGAACAATGAAAAAAAAAAAAAGCAACCCGTATCTCTTAGCATTTTCATTCTTTTGGAAGGAAGGAATAAGAAAAACCTGTTGTGGATCATCTATGGTAATTACTATCGATAGAACAGAAATTAAAGGTTGTGATTCATTTCAGGGCTGGGTGTGGGAGCACACAGCAAGAAACTGTTGTCAGAAAGACCTGATATGAGCGGCATATCTGGGTCTGTGGGAAAAGAGTGTTTTAAGTAGAATATTTTAAGTATTATAGCAGGTGGAGGATGAAAGCAGGGAGACCAGTAAGGAAAATGTTTCATAGCACAGGTGAGGAAAACATAGCTGTGACTCAGTATGTGTTAGCATTGGAGGTGACGTGAATCAGGCTCTCTACTGATACATTCAGGAATAGAGCCACTGGGATTTGCTGGTGAATGGAGGTTTTTAGGATGTTCCCTTAAAGGGATAGATCTGCAGAACATGCTAATACACTATGGAAAATTGCTAGAACAGTGTCTTGAATAGCTAATAGGGGATTCCATCTAGAATGATGGGTCTTAGTTACTCAAATATGGCTGCAGTAATATTGTATGATAACATGTACTCCCCAAAAGTTCAGAAGCTTGCATTAGTAAACTCTTAAGCCTTTTTGTGTTCGCTAGAATATTTCTGCTCGAACATCATTTTGTATTTCTGCCTTCCAGCTTATTGCTGGGACAGATCACTGACTGTTTCACCATCACCAATTTTAGAAATTTCTGTAGTTTCCTTGTCTTGTACCTTTCATCTCAGTCAAAATCATGTAATTTTGTGGATGACAATACCATTATTCTGTACTGCTTTCTGTGGTGTTTTACTGTTGTTCGTGTCTTTGAGGACAACTCCATAATCTCAGTGGCTTTGATTATTCAGTTACGTTTCTTCACAGTTCTTTCTTTCACTAATAGATTTGTGGGTCTGCCAAGATAGCTCTCTTAAATAGTGACAAGCACAGTTCATTAAAAAGCAAGAAGAGGAGGGTGCTTGAAGAATGGGCTAACGATATATAGAGGTTTTTGCTGATAACAGTTTCTAGGATTAAGTGGGAGAATGCCGAAGGTGAAAGGGTTGGAGTGGGGATTGCGGTAGAAAGCAGGATGTCTCATTCTTTTGACTGCAGAGATAGGGGGTGTCTTACTCAGACCACACAACAATTCTTTACTACTTTGTTTCTCAGTCTCAAAATCAAAAACACATTTTTATACTTAAAAAACTCTTAAATAAGGTCTAAAACCAAAGAGTATCAGAGCTCCCAGTTCAGAGCGAACAGTGGTCCAAAGACAGGATTGTCTGCCTTGGGCAACACATTATTTTTCTGCTCCTTACCCTACTACAGTTCCCTAGTGGGGTGCTGGATTGCCCCAGCAAATTGGAACTTGGTAGGGAACAGGGAGCAGGGTCTGAGAACTGTGATTTATGATTGTGGAGACATGGTAGCATAGTTCCCCATATGAATAAATCAGAACTAGTATTGATATATGTTTGTATGGAAAAAGGAAAACTTTGAGTCTGTTCAATCACACAGACAGTCATGTTATCCAAGTTTTTAGTGTATATTCAAGGATCACTTTAAAAAAATTTTTTTTTTTTTATTGAATCACTGTGGGAAAAGTTACAAAGCTTTCAGGTTTAAGTCTCGGTCATGCGACACCTTTCCCTTCACCAGTACTTATTTTTCACCACCAAGAATCCCCAAATATACACCCTTCCCACCTCTCCCAATGCCTGTGAGACAGATGAATTCTACATAACTCTCTATCTACTTTGATTACATTCATTATTTCGACCAAAGATGCACCATTATTGTTTAGAGTTTATACCCAACAATTACAACTGCTGAAAAGGCATTGTGAAATAATTTGTTTTCTACAGCTGGCTATGAGAACCATATGATGTCGCGACCGTGTGATTTTGGATTTCTGATATTTTACTTATTAAGTCTGGAAGGGTCACTTTTTAGTCATCTGATTTCCCTCCAAATAGGACTGTCCTGAGTCTTGCTCTTTTTTTTCTAACCTAATGACTCCAGGTAATACTTTGTTCAGCTTTCCTTATTTTGTAGCCATATGGTCTCAGTTGCAACTCCTCAGCTGTCCCACTATAGTATGCAAATAGCCGTAAACAAATGAATGAGCATAGCTGGGTTCCAGTAAATTTTAAAAATAGTCAGTGAGTTATAGTTTGCTGACCTCTGGTTGTTTCTGGATGTATCTGCAAGTACGCTACATTACTAGATGCGAAGTCATCATGACACCTGTAGAAATTTTATTTGTTTGCCTTCCTTTTTTTAATACTTGGTTATAATCTATACTCTGGTCTTGAAAATAAGATCCTGGATCTGCCCTTAATTAAGCACCAGACTGAACAATTCCTGTATCTAGAACAGAATTATATTTCAGACTCAGGCACATCTTGATTTGACTACGTACCTTCTGTGTTAGACGAAAATTGAAATTAGCTTCTAGGGCAAGCGAAGGCAGTGCTCGTTATGTCTGGAAGTCTCTGTGGTTTCTAGGATTGCGCATTATGCAGTTGTACTTATGTCCACTGATTTTTAGTGCTTATGTGATAAAAGTTTAGCAGGCTGCTTAGCAGTTGGTTAGTATAATCCTCTGAGACTAATACTTTAGTTCAGTGCTGTTTGTTTTAGAAAACCCTGTTAAAGAACAAACTCTTCAGGGGTGAGCTTGTGCTTAAGCGGAAAGCTTAAAAAAAATTCTAAATTGCTGGTATTCTAAAAATGACCTTACTTGGGGCGTTTGCCTTGCACATGGCTGACCCAGGTTCAATTCCCAGCATCCCATATGGTCCCCTGAGCACCGCCAGGAATGATTGCTGAGTGTATGAACCAGGAGTAACTCCTGTGCATTGCCAGGTATGACCCAAGAAAGCAAAAAAAAAAAAAATTGACCTTACAGATTTCAGTTCAGTCTTTCACTAAAGGTAGAGGATCTCCTTTATGCACAGTGCCAAGCAGAACCCGGCCCCTTCCTCAGAGACTTTGGCTAGCAGAATTCTCGGGATCTAAGGGTTGTATTTGTTGGAGGACCTTGGAAAGGATCTGAGAGGCTAGCGTCTGTACTGTTCCAAGAGTCATCTTCCATAGAATCAACTGTCACCTGGGTAATGGAAATCCAGCGCAGGGGCGTATTCACTGTTTAAATCAAATGATCTTTTACTGTGCTTGCTCACTTTAATCTAGAGCCATTTCTGCCTAAACATCCTAAGAGGTTTCAAAAATTTTTTGCTAGAGGGTGCCTCCCTATCAATGCTTGTGGCCCATGTCATCCTGACTTGATGGGACATCCATGCATGCAATGCCTCCTGTTCACCTCTCTCCTCTCTGCTCCTTTTATGGGGGCACGGTGGTGGGGCGCTCCCAGGCATGTTCAGGGAGCTTTAGAACACTCGCAGCAATTCTGTCACCTTGGTTGGTACAGTGTTCAGGCCCAGCATTGTGATGCTTGGCTCAGAGGAGCTGGGGGACAACCGAAGCACACGTAGCAGGGCTGAGAGCCTCCGGCACTACCGCCAGCAGTG